CAATTGCTTCTTACAATGAATCCTTGCATGTGGAATCACGTGGTACTAAGCGTAAATTAAATAAGGAAAATTCGGCGACATTATGGCATAAGCGCTTAGGTCATATCTCAAAAGGTAGAGTTGAGCGTCTTGTGTCTGATGGCATTTTGGATTCCCTTGATTTTTCGGACTTCGACGTATGTGTTGAATGTATCAAGGGAAAACAGACCAAAGTGAAGAGATTAGGTGCCAACAGATCTTCGGATGTCTTAGAATTGATACATACGGATATTTGTGGGCCATTCCCTACGGAATCCTGGAATGGTCAACAATATTTTATATCATTCATAGACGATTACTCACGTTATGGGCACCTATATCTTATTCATGAAAAATCTGAGTCTCTGGACATGTTCAAAGCCTATAAAGCTGAAGTTGAGAATCAACTCAACAGAAGAATTAAAACCGTCAGATCTGATCGTGGTGGTGAGTACTACGGTAGATATGATGGTTCAGGTGAACAACGTCCAGGACCATTTGCTAGATACCTAGAGGAATGCGGTATCGTCCCACAGTACACTATGCCGGGTTCACCTAGCATGAATGGTGTAGCTGAAAGACGAAACAGGACTCTTAAGGATATGGTAAGAAGTATGATTGCTCATTCTTCTTTACCAGAGTCACTCTGGGGAGAAGCACTTAAGACAGCAGCTTACATTCTGAATAGAGTACCAAGTAAAGCAGTTGCTAAAACACCTTATGAGCTTTGGACTGGTCGAAAGCCCAGTTTAAAGCATTTACATATTTGGGGATGTCCAGCTGAGGCAAGGCCTTATAGGCCAAATGAAAAGAAATTGGACTCCAAAACAGTTAGCAGCTACTTTATTGGGTACCCTGATCGCTCTAGGGGCTATAAGTTTTATGATCCCACTATAAGGAATATTTTTGAGACGGGAACAGCAACATTCTTTGAGGATGTTGAGTTTGGGGGGAGAAATAAGGTTAGAGACATTAGTTTTGAGGAGGAATTGGCTTCAGATCCAATCCATACAGTTACTTTTGACAATATTCAGGTTCCTATACCTGTTGTTGCTCAAGAAGTAAATCCGGAACCTCAAGATGATAATGTTGAACAACTCCCTGTTCCAGAAGAACAAACTCAACAACCTCAAGAACCAGTGCCATTAAGGAGATCCACGAGAGAAAGGAGAAATGCTATTCCGGATGATTATATTGTATTTCTCCAAGAACATGAGGAAAGTAGTGGAATGTTAGAAGATGATCCAATCAACTTCTCTCAGGCCATGAAAAGTTCTAACTCTCAACAGTGGATTGATGCCATGAATGAAGAGTATAAGTCTATGCAAGACAATAAGGTTTGGGAACTTGTCCCATTGCCAGAAGGTGCAAAACCAATTGGTTGTAAATGGATTTTTAAAACCAAGCGGGATGCAAACGGTAATGTGGAGAGGTATAAGGCGCGTCTTGTGGCTAAAGGCTATACTCAAAAGGAAGGCATTGATTATACAGAGACTTTCTCTCCGGTTTCATCGAAAGACTCTTTCAGAATAATCATGGCACTTGTTGCTCATTATGATCTTGAGTTACATCAGATGGATGTTAAGACTGCATTTCTCAATGGAGACATTGATGAGATGATTTATATGGTGCAACCAGAAAACTTTGTGTCAGGAGACCCAAAGAATATGGTTTGCAAATTAAGGAAATCCATCTATGGACTCAAGCAAGCTCCTCGTCAATGGTATCATAAGTTTCAACAAATAGTTATCTCGTTCGGTTTTGAGATGAACATTGTTGATGACTGTGTATATCACAAGTTCAGTGGGAGTAAGTATATTTTTCTGGTTCTGTATGTGGATGACATCTTGCTTGCCACTAATGATATAGGCATGTTGCACGAAACCAAGAGATTTCTATCAAAGAATTTTGAGATGAAAGATCTTGGGGACGCCTCTTTTATATTAGGGATCCAGATACATCGAGATCGCTCTCGGGGTATTCTTGGATTATCACAAAAGAGCTATATCGATAAGGTACTTAAAAGGTTTGGCATGCAAGATTGCAGACCAGGTGACACCCCTGTTGCTAAAGGAGACAAGTTTAGTCTCAATCAGTGCCCTAAAGGTAACCTTGAAATTCAGGAAATGCAGAAGATTCCTTATGCTTCGGCTGTAGGAAGTCTAATGTATGCTCAGGTATGTACGCGTCCGGATATTGCGTACATTGTTGGGATGTTAGGCAGATACTTAAGCAACCCTGGTATGGATCATTGGATAGCAGTCAAAAGGGTTATGAGGTATCTTCAGAAAACAAAAGATTACATGCTCACATACAGAAAATCAGAGAAATTAGAGGTCATTGGGTATTCGGACTCTGATTTTGCTGGATGCCAAGATAGCAGGAAGTCTACATCAGGCTACATTTATATGTTAGCAGGAGGAGCTATATCATGGAAAAGTGTCAAACAAACACTAGTAGCTTCCTCCACTATGGCAGCAGAATTTGTAGCTTGCTATGAGGCATCCAATCAGGGAATATGGCTGCGAAATTTTGTCACGGGACTGCGCATTTTGGAAAATGTTGAAAGACCACTAAGGTTATATTGTGACAATAAATCTGCAGTAATGTATTCCAATAACAACAGGAGCTCAACTAAGTCAAAACATATTGACATTAAGTTCCTGGTTGTGAAAGAAAGGGTACAGAGTGGACAGATATCCATAGAGCACATTGGGACAAACTCCATGATAGCTGATCCTCTTACTAAGGGATTGCCACCTAAGGTCTTTCATGAGCATACTGCTCATATGGGTGTGGTATTATTTGAGGATATTATGTTTTAGTGGGAGTTTGTATTTGTGGTGCTTTATGTTTGGTTGTATTGTCTGATCAGAATAAAGTATTCAGTTAAGACACTCTGTTACATTATGTTTGGTTTTGACCTCACTAAGGAGGACCAGTTAAAAATAGACATGTACTGATCACATTGCATGTAATTTTCATGCTGCACATCCATGATTGATCTATGTCATTTGATTGTATTGGTATATGTGACCATTGATGGGTCGAGTCACGATAAATGTGACGAAGGCCGCTTTGATCCTATATTGATATAGTCAATGGACGAGATTGTTCGGAAATACCTTTTCAGTGATAGCAATTTTTGAGCTCATAAGGTTATACACAATTTAAGGAATCATATGGTGCCCAAGTGGGAGATTGTTGGATTTAATCTAATAAATCTATTTGTGGGCACATATGATTAATCAATGTGTATTGCTATCTTTCAGGATAACCCACTAAAGTGATCAATTAAGTTGGGTTAATTTGGTATTTAAATAAGTCATGGGGTTATATGTGCAGATACCAGGTTGTAATTATGATTTATTGAGTGGCTAAATTACAAAAGTACAACATCTATAAATAAGGGGTTATGGTCCCTAACCTAGGGTTACATTCTCTAATTCTCTACACCCCCATCTAGCTAGAGAAATTCGGATTTAGAGAAACCCTAAGGTTAGAAGATCAAAACCCATCTCAAGATCAAACAATGGATTTAGGTATAAGCTTCCGCTCTTTTGATTATTTGTTAATCTCTTTGAATTAATCATGGCTATATGGTTTTAGATCTCAAGTTTCATGATGTAGATCTAACAGTTAAAATGTTTTGTTGAACTGCACTTAATGATCATTGGTAAAAAATAAAAGGTATATAAGTTATATATAAACTAAAAAAGGAGATGTTATTTTAAAAACTAACATCAAATTACTTCTAAAAACACCCCTTTAAAAGCAAGAACACTTTCAATTAGTATGCGAAAATTTATTTATTAACCAAACATTATTATTAATTGCTTTTAAAAAAAAAAATAAGTAGAAGCATCTAAAAAAAAGCAATACCAGACTGAGCTAGTCCCAGTAAGCAAACATGCATATATTGACGTCTTCCCCTCAAATGTTATCAGTAAATCAGTAAAACGTGAGGTAGCAGCGAGCGAGTGTGTATCATAGAGCTCTAGTACATTGAGTGCTCGAGGAAAAGATGCAGTGTCTCAATCAAAAAAGATTTTAAATATGACCGTGACCTCCCGCCTTCTGCGCTTAGAAGTTGTAGACAATCGGTTGGCTTCATAATGATTACTAAATTGATTATTTCTAAGTCGAAGAAACAAAAGGGACCATCGGATCATCTTGCATAGGTCGCACGCATAGGTCATGCATTATTTAAAGTTCTATCAAATAACAATTATTTGACTTTTGACTATTGGTCATGGGGTTATATACAATTTAACCTTCTCAATGTTTGTATTTACGACTGACGAGTGCTGATCAATGTACACATGACAAGGGTCATCTCCAATTTACCCAATTAATAAATGAGATTAATGTGTATCCTTGTCATAAGAGGGGATTTCCTCCTTGACGTCTCTAAAATCACATGATTGAGCGACATTGTGGATGATCCGTTCCGTTAAACTTGATCTACATATTCTAAAACCCCAACACACCAAGTTTGGGGTGAACCCGTCGTCGTTTGACCATTCATCCACTCGTATCAATTTTAACGGTTTTGAATGAATAGAACTTTTCACATGGCTCGATGGAGGGTCAAACGACGACGGATTCACCCCAAACTTGGTGTGTTGGGGTTTTAGAATATGTAGATCAAGTTCAACGGAGCGGATCATCCATAATATCGCTCAATCATGTGATTTTAGATGCGTCAAGGAGAAAATCCCCTCCTATGACAAGGATACCCATTAATCTCTCTAATAATACTGTTTAAAGTGTAAATTACAAATTACACGGCAAGAAAGCATTATCAATACCTCGGCGCAGCGCAGCGCGACCATCCACAGCTGTTCCTCAGTGCAGAAGAGATTAGTAGTTACCGACCAGCTAAGAAAAGGTGGAAGATTCCCTGCAAACCCGCAGATACGTCCAACGCCGACGACGCCCGTCAACCCTCATCCCGCACGCACCCCACCCACCCGCCCACCGACCGCGTAACCCCGATTCCCGATGACTCCACCCTATCTTTTCCCCCCTTGATACCGTCACCCCACCTTTTCTTAAAGCCCCACCGACTGTCGCCCCCCTCCCGCGTGGGAAGCTCACCCCCATCGACGGCCTTCATACTCCTCCTCCTCAAACCTAGATCTAACCTAACCCTAGAACTAACTTTTCACCCATCAACTCCGCGACCTTAAAGCTACAACCTTTAGTACCTTAAAACTAGCATTCTAAATGGGTTGTTCGGGGTCGAAGCTGAGAGCTGGAGGCGGTGGCGCTGTGCGAGGCCGCACCGACCTCCTAGCCATGCGTCCGCCACCGCTACGCCCTCGCCGACGCCCACAACGCTACGCCTTCTCTCCTCCGCTCCGTCGGCTCCTCCTTCCACCGCTTCATCGACTGCGCCGGCAGCCACGAGGCCTTGCCCCCCTCCCTCCTCCTCCTCTCCCGCCCTCCTCTGCCAGCTCGGCGAAAGGGCGATCCTTCGCCTCCGCCGCCGCCGCCGCAGCAGCAGCAGCAGCATTCGAGGTCGCACTCCGGCTCTGGTCCCACATCCAGTTCCACTCTTCTGATGACGAGGAGGACGGCGGTTCTGGTGCGGACGACCCCGATTCCCAGCTCCACTCGGGGAATTTGTCGCCCGATCGGTACCATTTTCATCAAGAACACGAAACCTGGGTTCCCACCTCCGTCAATTTCAACTACGCGCGCGATCAGCCTCAGCCTTCTACTGTTCACTTCGCCAACGTCGGCGGCCGTCAGCGGCGGCGATCCTTCATCCTCTGCTTCCCCTCCGGCCGGCATATCCTAATTATAGCAACTACCCTTACTCTTATCCTCACGCATATCCCACCAACAATTACTATGGTTTTTTGGGAATTCTTCGGCCTTTCTCCCCCAAATTTAGCTCCGCCTCCGGCGTTCGGTTCCGCGGCGGACAGCTCGGCGCCTTCGACCTCAAAGCCGCCTCCACCGCCGCCGTCGCCTCCAAGAGTGTCCACTTGGGACTTTTTGGATCCCTTTGGGGCTCAAGAAACTTATTACCCTTCTTATCCCCCGAGTCGAGCTAGCCGGAGCTCGAGGGAGGTAAGGGATGAAGAGGGGATCCCTGACTTGGAGGAGGAGGATGATGATGTTGACGAGGTTGTTAAGGAGGTCTATGGAGAGCAGAAGTTTGTGGGGTCTACTACTAGAGAGTATAATGGGAACGAGGATCGGATTGGGGGTGTTGGAGAGAATTCGAGGTCAGTAGAGGTGGAGAATGAGGAGAATGTTGTGGAGAAGAAAGTGGTTGCTGATGATTCTCAGCAGCAGAATGTGGCAGCGAGTTCTAGTAAGCCGAGGAAGTATTCGGATATTTCTGAGATTGGAAGTGAGATTAGGGTTCAGTTCGATAGGGCATCGGATGCAGCTACAGAACTGTCGAAGATGCTTGAGGTTGGAAAGCATCCATATCGCTTCCGGAAGAGTTCTGTTATTGAAGGTGAAGTTAGCTTGAATTTGTTTATGTTTGTTAGTTGAAGTGATCGGTGTGATTTTAATTACATTTCTTGAGCAGTTTCTTCGAGGATGATGTGTGTGATGCCTCCCTCTACTTCAAATGGGGAAGATTTCTTGAACTTTGAGGAGGATATTGTGTCTAGTTCAAAGAATCTCTCTTCGATACTGCAAAAATTGTATATTTGGGAGAAAAAGCTTCAGGATGAAGTTAAGGTAATGTACTGAAACCTGCCCTGGATTTTTGCACTTTCATTCTTAATCTGGTTTTGTTTAGTATCCATCTTCCTGTGAGATGTATAATTTATCTGGGATTTAGGTCCATTATATATTATAGAATCATTAGACGTAAAAGTGCAGTGCATAAAAGTGGAATGTTCTCTTTGTTGTTGGTTCTCTGTCATGCTCATAAATTGTGCTCAATAATACATAGGGAATAAGTGCTGAGGGACCGGCACCATTTATTCTATTATATGCTTGTAGATAGTTGGATTAATGTATAATATTATGCTGCCAGCTTGGTCCAAGAGTATTTAGGCTTTACATCCTCCATTATGGGTTAGGTAATTTCAATTACTGTAAGCATTATGAATCAATGATGCATCTTACAGTGACTTTGAGCAAACCATCTAGGTTTAGTGCCTATGCCAGGACTTGATAGACGGTCTCTTGAATTTCTTTATTACTTTAACTATGCATTTATGAGGATTACCAATACCAACCATATATCTTTTACACTGATTAGCATTTTAGCAAGAAAATCAATATCTGTGTTCATTGCACAATCTTTGTTGGTTTTTTCACTTGAGTAACAAATCCCTGTTGTAGTCTAATGTTCATAGGTTGTCAATGCCCTTATCTTTGGAGTTTGGATCATTGAACTAGTGGTCAGTTCATAATTGAAATTGTATGGGATGATAATTTAACTAATGGTCAACTTCACAAGTAAAGTTGTAGAAACTATCAGATGATGTAGTTCTGCGAATGTTTTGAGATTGGATCTTGGTGTCTTGTTTCACTATCTTATTAGTTTCTTCCTTTCTTTCTTCTCTAGTCCTATAAATACTTCACAGGTTTCATATCTAAACGTTTAATCCAAGCAATCATGTCATATTTTTCTCCATCTTAGATTTCTAGTACATACTGATTTTGGTTGTTTAGTTTGGAAAACTTTATGAATATATTATATGCTCCGCTTCATTGGCTCTTGCAATGATACTATTGCAGGCTGAAGAAAAAATGAGGCTACTTCATGAAAGAAACAGCAAACGCCTGAGGCATCTGGCTGAAAGAGGTGCTGAGGCCCAAAAGCTTGAAGAGGTTCAAAATTTGATCAGGAAGTTGTCAACCAAAATAAGAATAAGGATTCAAGTTGTTGATTCCATATCAAATAAGATAAATAAGCTAAGGGATGAAGAGTTGTGGCCGCAGATTGATGAACTTATTCAGGGGTATGCAAACTCTTAATTTCTCTCCACTGTGAATAAATATGTTGATTCTTGTCAATTCAAACATACATACATAGCCTGTATGCATCTAGTTACTGCTTTTTGATGCCTAGAACTTCATACACAGGGTAACAATAGTATCAGTATGCATTTGCATATATTTTTGTGTGCAATAATCATGCATCTTTTAGAGCTGGTAAGCCATTTTGGACGTCTGATGTTGTGATGCTAGCCTTCAGCATGGGTATGTTTCTGGTTGCATGAATCCTGATTTAGATACAACTAAAGTTGAGAGGGAAAAAGAAAATTGTGAGCTAATTTTCCCTTTTTCTTTTTACATGTTTTTTGTAGGTGTCCGTGCTTCTTTATTATTTTGTAGTGTTATTAATATTAATTTGGATGATGATTATAGTTGTCTTTGTAACAATTATTACTTGATGATGTTTATTGCATGAACAATTCCATTCTATCTAACGTATTTTTTTGAAATACTTGCAAATAAATTATTTATGTTTTTAGGTTAATAATGATTCATGAACCCTCAGTTATTCCTGTGTTATCTGCTGTTTTCTTCCTTATTTTCTTCCTTATATTGTTGTTTAAGGGCGTTTGGTATTCACCGAGTTGAGAATCACAAAAGTTCATGTCACCTTGCATTATTATGGTACTTAAAGTCATATGTAAGATTCCATGAATTCCTGCTTGTTTGTTTGGTCGGATGCTGTTAGAACTTCAGTTAATTGTAATATCTAGTCACAAAAACAAAATGCTATCTCCGTGAAAAGAATTTCTAAGTTGAACCCACAACGATAAACTTGACAATTTTGAATTGCACTGTAAGCGTTGTTGGAAAAATCCATAGGTACGACAAGCCAAACGAATGTATTTCCCTCAAATCTTGTAATTGGAAACCCTAGATTTTCAGTCACGGTTAGATTAACTGACCTGATTTGCAGTTTTGCAGAAATGGTTTCTAACGCAGTTGTCTTTTGTAGTAAAATGTAGTAGATTCTGGTGTATATGATACTTGTATTCAACTTAAAAACATTACTTTCGTATGGCTGCTTTCTCGAGATTTGAGATAGTGGATGTTGACCTCTGAATGTATAAGATGGAGCTTAGAGCTGGCTGGATTATCTTTGTGATAATCCATCCTTTCTCTCAAAAAAAAAAAAAAGATGGAGCTTAGAGGTTTTACTTGTGTTTCACGATGAAATTTTATTTATCTAACGAACATAATTATTTGCAGATCATTGAGAATGTGGAAAAATAAGTTAGAATGTCATCGGATACAGTGTCAAGCTATATCAAAAGCCAAAGGTCTGGATTCAATTGCAAATGGTGGCAAGCTCGATGATGTTCAGCTGCGCGCAATGATGGATCTCGAACTGGAGGTACTGAGGTTGACTGGCAATTTTGCGTCTTGGATCAGCTCACAGAAAAACTATGTGAGAGCTTTGAATGGATGGCTTGTATTATGTCTTCACTATGAACCTGAAGTAACAGCTGATGGGGTTCCCCCTTATTCTCCTGGAAGAATAGGTGCTCCTCCTGTGTTTGTGATCTGTAATTCATGGTCACAAGCAGTGGATAGGATATCCGAGATGGAAGTCATTAATGCTATGAAGGCTTTTGCCGCTCGTTTGAGACATCTCTGGGAGCAAAACAGTGTTGATCCAAAGCAAAGGATGATGCCAAATGGGGATATGGAAAGATCGATTAGAGCTCGAGAAAGAGAGGTCCAAATTGTTAACAAGGAAGTAGATGCACTCAACAAGAAATTGGCCCTTGTTTCTGGCCAGAGCGAACTTCCAAACTACTCTTCTGAAGAGAACAGTCAGCAGTTAGGTCTGAAACAGATCTTTGAAGCCTTGGAAAATTTTGCAGCCAACTCTTTTAAGGCCTATGAGGAACTTCACATTCGTTCAGAAGAAGAAAAAGTGGCTTGGGAGAATACCAAATTGAGTGGCTAGGGAAAATGTCGATGTTCCTAGGTGTCTTCAGCAGTTGAAGACAATGGGAGAAACCAAATTGAGTGGCTAGGGAAAATGTCGATGTTCCTAGGTGTCTTCAGCAGTTGATTAACTATGAACAAGACATTATTTGTCATGAGTTGGCGCAAGCACAAGGAGTCAAAAGTGTTTCAGGTCTTTATGGAGACCATACAGGTACTTGTGGAGGAGTGAAACACAGTGGCTTAGGGCTGTGGCCTTAATCTTTGGTAATTGAGCTTTTCCACCTGTCCATTAAGTCATGGGTGTAAGTAACAGTCAAAACACATTCCTTAACTTTATACTGAATTAGAAAAAATGAGATAAAAACCAGGAATATCCCCGATATTCGGGTGCAGCAAATGAATAATGCATCATCCAATAGTCACCTTGACTGCTGTTCCATGAAGGCTTAATTGGCATCTCACTTTTTGAATAAATTGGGTATGATGCATTCCAAAAGATTATTTGGGCTCTTGGTTGACAGCAGTCGAAGAAGCAATGACAAGCATTTCGATGTCACGTCTCAATTGCTGAATTTCATGTATGTTTGGTTTCTAATTTGCTGGTGCCCATAGAAAGCTTTCTCTCCGTTGCCCAAGTTGTGGGTTAACCTGAGAGCTGAGTGCTTTGCTTCAGAAGCGTAGGCAAATATGGGATTGACACTGGGTTGACAGGTATTGTTATTATTATCTTTTTTGAGCACTATTGTTATTATTATTATTATTATTATTATTATTATTATTATTATTATTATTATTATTATTATTATCTGAAGATGGCATAATGTATCTATTGCTTTAATTTCGAGAAATAATGGCAAATAGCAATGATATGATATATTTCTGTAGCAAGGTGGAATGTATGGACAGCATAACATCTGAGGAATGGCTAAATCTGCTAGTCTCTAAGCAAGGCGCCAAGGATTGCACTCTGGTGGAGCTCCTCCATGAATGCAGCTGAGGTATTGCAGGGAATTATGACATTTCTACTGGCCCCAATAGTGTGTCACTGATTACTTGTTTGCTGGCTTCAAGGCTGTAAACGTTTGTAGGCATTTGAGCATGCATCATAGCGTGCGCGTGTATAATGTTATATTATGTGCATTTCAGGAGTTCTTCCTCTCTTGCTTAAAAGATGCGGGCTGATCTCGAGTATGAATTTACTCAAACTAGCTTGTTGACGAGCTTCGCTGTGTCTTTTATATCGTTTTAGCTTTGCATGGTTGACAAGCTCAGCTATCTGACAAAGTGAGATTAGGAAGTGCAGTAAGCTTGATTAAGCTATTTGATCTGGTGTTGTTGGAAATATAGTGCAGTTGACAACTGATCTATCGATTGTCTAGTTTGAAACGCAACACGTGATTTTTTACAAGAAATATTTCATGCTACAAAAGAAATAGTGTAAAATGCTTTAAATTGATTTGAGACATGATTGCAACATTTGCAGTAAAAAAAGACTGAAATATTAAGAATGAGCTTAACATTCAAAATTAAAATAAGGATCGGTACGTTCAACTTTAATGGTTAACATTTAGCGTGCGGAGACAATGCTAAGCATGGATGAAAATTATTAATATCGATTTTTTAATATTCTAAACCGGTACACGTACGTCAGAAAAAAACCAAAAAGAAAATGCACTCTTCATTACCTAATCAGGTAAAGATGGATCTTTTGTGGGAGCTCCGGAACCAAAACCAGCTGAATCTTGGCAACTCTAATCATAATAATGCAAAAAGCTAAATATTAGAATAACCCCGTTTACTTTGGACGATTATCAGATAACTCGCCATAACTTTCAAAATAACATAAAAACCACCTTTAAGTACATTGATTATTAGGAACCCCCTCTCCCCCCAAACTTACATTTTTAATTAGAAAACCCCTTTCAACTTAGAGATTTTATTGGAAAATCCCCCTAAAAGCTCAAAATAAAAGGGGGTTTTTTCATTTATAAAATCTCAAAATTAAGGGGGAGCTTTTTATAACTGCTAGACTTAGGCTCTGTTTGGCAAAACTAGCTGAAAGCTACGAGATTATAGCTGAAAGCTGTTAAGCTAGCTGAAAGCTGTGAAATTGTAGCTGATAGCTTATAGCTGTGTAGCTAGCTGATTAAAGTAGAGCTGTTTGGCAAAAGTAGCTGTATAACTAGCTTAAATTTGTAAATGACTAAAAAGGACATGCAATATTATTGATATAAAATTAGAATTACTCAACACTCATTTATTTATTTATTTACTAGTTAGATTGCACATGCAATGCACGTGATAAAAACAATAACCATCATCACATAATAAGGGAAAATATTATGAAAAATACACAAACATTGAGAGGTCAATTGAAAGAAAACAGTAAATATGACATCTAATACTGTAGGCAATTATCACATTGACTCCCATAATAAGCGAGCAATGTTATCACGAACTTCCCTCATTTCAGAAGTTGTCCCTCTTGAAGAATTACTATTCTCATCAGGATCCTCGAGTTCATCTTAGAATTACTATTCTCATCAGGATCCTCGAGTTCATCTTGAGTTTCATCTTCGGGTACATAATTTGGTTGCCGTTCTAACACTGTAAACAACGGATCATCGACTGAGTTAATGCGAATATAATTATGCAATGCAAATGAGGCCATAACAATATCAATTTGGGTCTTCACACTATACTGTGGCATTTGGTGAAGAATCTTCCATCTTTTCTTCAAGACTCCAAATGACCTCTCAATACAACTACGAAGAGATGAATGCGCACGATTAAAAGTTTCTTTAGCATTGGTTGGCGCCTCTCTTTGAAACTGCGATTGATGGTACCTTATTTTAGGATACGATACTAAATATCCCAGCCTATCCGGATATCCTTTATCAACCAAATAATATCGACCTATATTAAAATTTAAGAAAAGTGAGATTAAATGAAGGAAATATTATGACTATAATATATTGGAGTACATAAATTTAAACAAAAAATAAAAACAAACCTTGTAGAGGATGAGGAAAATTCATTGTTGGCGTGTTAATCGCATGAAGAAAAACACGTGTATCATGTGCTGATCCTTCCCACCCAACAGACAAAAATGTAAAACACATATCAAAGTCACACACAGCCATGACATTGAAAGTGGGGATGTCTTTTCTCCCTCTATAACGCAATTGATCAGCCTCGGGAATACATGCTGCCACATGAGTACCATCAATGCATCCAATACAATCCTATAATTTAAACTTCATCATTATAATAATGGTACGTATCAAAATTTACAAATTAAGTATCAATTACAATAATGTTTACCTTAAAATAAGGCATGTATCTTGTATCATTGGCGATTTGAGGTGGTATGAATTGAAAGTTTCGATCCTTTGGTTGTATAACATCCCGTGCAAGACCCATATAACCTTTATTTCTACCACAAATCGCTTCTAAAACTTGGGTAATGGTTCTACTAATAGTCTCACCAGAACGTTGAAATCGCTCACCAACATCTCTATTAGAGAGACCCAACGCAATAGTATAAACAAATATACCCACTTTTTCAACCACTGTCATGTTCCTACTAGGTGTTAATCCATATTTGGATTGTAACTCTTCACATAGTAGCAAAAATACTCTTGATTCCATTCTAAAGGCATTCACACATCGAATAGGATGTCCATTTAGAATTTCTCTCATCCAATCTTCCCCTCTTTGATGTGAAGTCATGCATGGTTCTTTGTAAATGTATTTGTAGTAATATGTAGCTATAGCACTTGTTGTACATGCAGTTATAAGCCAAAATATTCTCTGCTTTTTCTTCCTCCTTTTCTTCATATCCATAATACACCTAAACAATGATTAGTTTAAAAAAATGAAGATAAGTCTAAACAAGGTAAAATGCAAATTAAACACAACCACAAAGTTTAACAGTCCATACAACCATAAGATTAAGAATTCATGCAACCAAATTAAACACAACTTCAATCCCAAGTGGATTTTCATGAAATAGAGATATCCTTGGATGTCTAAGGCTCTGTTTGGCAAAACTAGCTGAAAGCTACGAGATTATAGCTGAAAGCTGTTAAGCTAGCTGAAAGCTGTGAAATTATAGCTGAAAGCTTATAGCTGTGTAGCTAGCTGATTAAAGTAGAGCTGTTTGGCAAAAGTAGCTGTATAACTAGCTTAAATTTGTAAATGACTAAAAAGGACATGCAATATTATTGATATAAAATTAGAATTACTCAACACTCATTTATTTATTTATTTACTAGTTAGATTGCACATGCAATGCACGTGATAAAAACAATAACCATCATCACATAATAAGGGAAAACATTATGAAAAATACACAAACATTGAGAGGTCAATTGAAAGAAAACAGTAAATACGACATCTAATACTGTAGGCAATTATCACATTGACTCCCATAATAAGCGAGCAATGTTATCACGAACTTCCCTCATTTCAGAAGTTGTCCCTCTTGAAGAATTACTATTCTCATCAGGATCCTCGAGTTCATCTTGAGTTTCATCTTCGGGTACATAATTTGGTTGTTGTTCTAACACTGTAAACAACGGATCATCGACTGAGTTAATGCGAATATAATTATGCAATGCAAATGCGGCCATAACAATATCAATTTGGGTCTTCACACTATACTGTGGCATTTGGTGAAGAATCTTCCATCTTTTCTTCAAGACTCCAAATGACCTCTCAATACAACTACGAAGAGATGAATGCGCACGATTAAAAGTTTCTTTAGCATTGGTTGGCGCCTCTCTTTGAAACTGCGATTGATGGTACCTTATTTTGGGATACGGTACTAAATATCCCAGTCTATCCGGATATCCTTTATCAACCAAATAATATCGACCTATATTAAAATTTAAGAAAAGTGAGATTAAATGAAGGAAATATTATGACTATAATATATTGGAGTACATAAATTTAAACAAAAAATAAAAACAAACCTTGTAGAGGATGAGGAAAATTCATTGTTGGCGTGTTAATCGCATGAAGAAAAACACGTGTATCATGTGCTGATCCTTCCCACCCAACAGACAAAAATGTAAAACACATATCAAAGTCACACACAGCCATGACATTGAAAGTGGGGATGTCTTTCCTCCCTCTATAACGCATTTGATCAGCCTCGGGAATACATGCTGCCACATGAGTACCATCAATGCATCCAATACAATCCTATAATTTAAACTTCATCATTATAATAATGGTACGTATCAAAATTTACAAATTAAGTATCAATTACAATAATGTTTACCTTAAAATAAGGCATGTATCTTGTATCATTGGCGATTTGAGGTGGTATGAATTGAAAGTTTCGATCCTTTGGTTGTATAACATCCCGTGCAAGACCCATATAACCTTTATTTCTACCACAAATCGCTTCTAAAACTTGGGTAATGGTTCTACTAATAGTCTCACCAGAACGTTGAAATCGCTCACCAACATCTCTATTAGAGAGACCCAACGCAATAGTATAAACAAATATACCCACTTTTTCAACCACTGTCATGTTCCTACTAGGTGTTAATCCATATTTGGATTGTAACTCTTCACATAGTAGCAAAAATACTCTTGATTCCATTCTAAAGGCATTCACACATCGAATAGGATGTCCATTTAGAATTTCTCTCATCCAATCTTCCCCTCTTTGATGTGAAGTCATGCATGGTTCTTTGTAAATGTATTTGTAGTAATATGTAGCTATAGCACTTGTTGTACATGCAGTTATAAGCCAAAATATTCTCTGCTTTTTCTTCCTCCTTTTCTTCATATCCATAATACACCTAAACAATGATTAGTTTAAAAAAATGAAGATAAGTCTAAACAAGGTAAAATTCAAATTAAACACAACCACAAAGTTTAACAGTCCATACAACCATAAGATTAAGAATTCATGCAACCAAATTAAACACAACTTCAACACTTAATAAAACACAAACAACGGCTGAAATATCTAAAATTACCACACCTAATTAAACAAATAAATAATAGTTCAAACGTTTACTTGTCCTTCATATCATACATAAACTTTAACCAAGCCAACCTAGAAGCATCATCCTCCATAGCAAAGAAAAAATCCCTTCTCATAGCATCCTCAAGTAAATAAACAGCATAACACCACAAAGCACTACCATTTTCCAACCCATCCATATTTTTAAGAACATTCATCACCATTACAGCACAATTCACTGGTGTTTGAGTATTTGTCACACTATCAGGAGCACTAGTATCTGACTCAAGTGCTTGGACTACACGACCACAAAATGCAACCATGTTTTCAAGATGATGGTTCATCATTGCTGATCCTGTAGATTGTCTCCTTTTACGCTTCATTGGCACAGACTTCACTGTTTTTGTGGCAGTTTTTTGTGGTTCTTTAGAAGTCCTCCTATCACTAGTTGGTACTTGGGTAACACCTTGGCTTTGGTTAGGTTGTTGATTATCAGCATTAAGCACTTCATTTGAAAACTCATGCCAAAAAGTACCCTCACTTCTTTCTAGGTTTTCCAAGCGAGATGAGTATTGACTATATTCTGAGTAAACATGATCTTGAGAATCCTCATACTCACCAAGTACTCTTTCTTCACTATTGGTTTCCTCTTCTTCAACACCTGCTTGAACCCTCTCAACATTTCCAGATTGTACATCATTCACAACCACACTTGAAGGATTCATGCCGGGAGTAACGCATTCTAACCCGTTAGCTACTACATCCGAGTATAGCTGATCCCATAGCTCTTCAATGGCGCATGGTACCCCTTTGTTACGAAATTTTTTAGCTTCAGGTTTTTCCTACACAATATCATAAAATATTAAATCAAACAAAATATTAACTTTTCTTTAATTTACCAATTATGACTATGTGAGAAAACAACTAACCTTGATTTTTATCTCCCACCACTCATTGGAACAATCAAGCTTTCCAGTTATGTAATCCCAACCTAGGCCAGTTTCAGATTGCTTCAAACCTTTCCAAATTCTCCAATCTCTCTTCATTTGATCATACTTGTTTTTTAAACTTTTATAATTGTTAACTTTCCGATTAGTTCTTGCCTCAAAGTCTTTAGCAATGTCTCTCCATTTGAATAGTTGATTGCGGCCATTCTTAGCAACGAATGCCAAACATAGCTCCAATAATACAATCATGAAATCATTTGTCCAGTTAAATGTCTTTCCCTCCGCATCATCAGTACCTTTGTTTTTCTGATTGTCCACATTATCATTACTTGATTCCATCTATAATATAGAAAAAACACACATGAATATAAAACACATGAGTGGAGATGAATTCTGTATTAGCGAACAATGACATAAGACAATCAAAGCTAGCATATTAGCATAATACAAATATTATTACTTTACTGTAATGTCATTTACACAAGAAATTGTCTCCCATAGCACTACAATGTCTACAATTAGCTTGATATAATTTTATTTTCACAAAAGATCAACTCGCCTAGATCAACTCGCCTAGTGCATTTTATTCGAGTACAAGAATAGGACAAAATAAAGTAGCATAATTAACATTTGCCTATATTATATATATTGTATCAGTCTAATTATCTGTATCTGCTGGTTTCAGGATGGCAAGCCAACCTGCAATGAACAATGCAAGGCCTCCTACAGTTCAAATCAGGGGACAGCCAGTAGCTCAAAAGACGTCATGCTGCTCTTCTTAAACTCTATAATTTTCAGTTTCCATGGAGGAATCCAAAACAGCTTTCCTCTGCAGTTATTGGTTTATTTTCCTGTGTTTATTGCAGATGATTATTTCATAATTACAATTCATTCTGCCTATTTTGTTTCAAAATCCGTACACATCATGTTCAGAATTTCGGATGATAAGGATGTTGGTAAATTTTTTTTTTCTGTTCAAACCGTTGATCTCAGTTGTGTGCATGTAAGTTGGAACTTACATGTTTCTATGATTTCTTTAAAACAAAACAAGTGATAAATTTCAAGTTGAATGAGAGCATAAATTATGCTGTTCAGGTTTTTTCATTGAAGGGCTAGAGAGATCATGGATGTATACGTGCGTACTGCCAGCATTAGTAAGGTTTCTGTTAATTAGTATTTCCTGGGAATTGGCTAATGATAGACATGGCTAGATCTAGAAACAAAGATAATACAGAAAATTAAAGTACCAACCAAATCCAAATCGCATGCCATCATCCCCACAACAATCAAACATCAAAGGAACAGAACCCTAACCTAATGAACAAAAACAAATCGAAAAATAGATCGAGAAGGAAACTCACAATCAGTAAATTAGTTGAATTTGAGCAGGGAGCAAGAATCCAAACCCTTCTTCTCCTAGGCGGATCAAAGAGCGAAATAGAGAAGAAGAATCGACGGCAGAAGTTTTTCACGCTGGAAAAGAAAGAGGGTTTTTTTTTTGGGTTCGGTTGGCCTATTTAAAGGGGCAAAAATGGAAGAATTATAATTGACAGCTTCTTCCCAATCCCAAACGCTACTTGAGATAGCTTTTCAAAAGCTACTTGCAAAAGCCACAATCTTCAAAATAATCTCCTCTTATTTTTTGTCACCAAACAACTCTACTAGCTTATTGACCAACTCAATAAGCCACAAGCTCTTAGATAAGCCACTTTTTTTGGTTGCCAAACAGGGCCTTAAAATTAACAGCCTTTTTGGTAACAAGTNGGCTGAGGTTTTGATATGTAACCAATACAAAATGTCCCACAATCAAAAGGAGAGCATGATTTCCAGAACCAAACAGTGAAATTGAATCTTCAATCTATCTTAACCTCTCCTCAAAATATATTGTTCATATGTTGTAAGCTCTGACATGATTTTTTTTACTCATTATATGTTAGATATATACATGATTTCAATTGTTTTTGAAGTTTGATCTAACCTTAGAAAGCATAGGA